TCTGCCCAGGCACCCAGCATGGCCAATGGGATGGACACAGGGAGCCTCCAGGCCTGACTTAGGTCAGGCACCCAGGGTCGGCATTGTTCAGAATGAGTGAGATGCAAGATCATACCAACCAGAGGTGGGAAAGGAGAAAGTGAGCAAACTGCTGAAAGCAATGACCGTTTTCCACGTCGCCGAGATCTAGTCAGATCCGGCACCAGGCTGGGGTCTGGACCTAACAACCTAATTCAGCCAACACAGCAACCCCCTGCTACCCCTCTCATTACTGGGCCCAGCGTGGCTCTGAGCCCCCAGCAGAGCGTGTCTGTGGGCCCCTGGGTCCAGCAAGCAGTGAGCAGAGACACGGGTGAAGAGAATCGGGGTTCAGACACGCTCTTTCACAGTGACCTTGAGGGGCTCCTGCAAAGGCAGGGCGTGAACTCCCCGGTCCCGGGCACTACCTGTCTGGTTGAGGTTCAGCGGGCAGGTGCTCCAGGGCAGCGGGTGCTGGAAGGAGTTGAGGAAGTACCACAGCACCCAGGTCAGGACGGTGTTGTAGTAGAGACTGATCAGGAAGGACACGGTGAAGCAGCCCAGCCCTGTGGGCAGACAATGGACAGTCACCGTCCTTCCTGTTACAGACTGTCTTGACTCACCTTCCGCCATTTCTGCTGCCCCACATCTGGACGAATCTTCTGGCTGAGGACGCATCGTTGTATGAAGTCCTGTTCAGCACCCTTCATCCATGCCCACAAGCTTCTGGGACATTCATGCTCCGCGTGTGACAGGTCCACAGGGCTTAGGACATGGGGCAGCCTGAGCTGTCCGAGGGACCAGCCTGTTGCCTCCTTCTTCTGCACCCTGAGCTCACTCCACCCAAGTCTGTCCTCAGGGGAACCAATGAGGCCTCCTCGGAGTGTGACTAGGGATGGCTCCCTCAGGGACACTGCTGCCTGGGTCTCCCTGCACCTGTACCCCAGGGTCCCTCCTTTGCCTGCAGGTTCCGAATCCCAAGCAAGCCCACCTCGCCCTTGGAACTGCATCCTTCCTCCTGTCCCTCCCCAGCAGCTGTGGGCAGGGTTCCCAGAGAGGCAGCGTACCGACTCCGCTCAGGTAAGGGGAGATGGCCTTCCACACCCCGATGCTGCCTCTGCGCAGGCGCTGGCCGATGGCGAGTTCAAGGTGGAACAGTGGGATCCCCTCGAAGGCCAGGGCAATGAGGTAGGGGATGAGGAAGGCTCCTGCAAGGATGCTGTGGTCAGCAGGGGATGGCACCTGGGCAGGACGTCACCGCGGCCTCCCTGAGAGGGGACGGACCGCACGTCCGGCCCGGTGCTGCTGTTTTAAATCCCTTGTCAATGCTTCCGAGGCGGTTTCATCAGCAAATGGGCTGTTCTGTTCCTACTGAGATCCCGTGACCCCCGGTGACCGGCTCCTTCAGGACATGGAGCTGCCTCATGCACACAGGATTCTGGAGAAGGTCAATGCCTCAGGTTGTCTGCCCAGCTGTGCCCCGTTTTGGGGTGGGACCTGTCCCTCTGTCCCTTGTCGGCCGTGCAGTGGAAGGAGTGGAACAAAAAGCTTGGTCTTGGTGGCTGAGCTGTGTGAGAGGAGCCTCGGCCTCTCCCAGAACCACAGACCTGAGCACCCAGCACCGTCAGGACCTGCAGCCTCTGCCTGTCTTAGGGATGCTCCAAACCAGACCTCTTTGGAAGAGCAAAGACTCAGGAACCAAAGGCCTGGCAAGTCTGCACACATGGGCAACCCCAAAGCAAGGCTGGGCAGGAGCAGCGTTGGGAGGGTTTGCCTGGTCCCAAGAGCTCTGATGCCCTCAGACGGTTTCTCCCTGGGCCATGGTGTAGCGCTCTTCCAGGGAGGACCACTCCCACCCGGCAGGAACCAGTGACAACCCAGTCCGAGGTGCGGCCGTTCCCCTTCTGTTTGAGGATGCTGCACAGGCTCACCTCCCCCATGGCTCTGGCACAGGTACGGGAACCTCCAGATGTTGCCCAGGCCCACGGCAAACCCCACGCAGCTCAGGAAGTACTGGAGCTTGTTGTCCCACTTGGGCCTCTCATCCTCGCTGCTGTCCTCCAGCGGGTCTGGTCCCGGGGTGCTCGCCATGCCTGGTCTCTGGAACCCTGGAGACTCAATGCTCGAGCCTCGGCTGGGGCTTGAAGCAAGGAGCAGTCTCCCCTTCAGGTGTATTTTTTTGTTATTTAAAGGAAAACCGTAGGGCCAGTTAATTGCTAACTCAGCCAGGACCCGCTCTGGCATGCAGTCCCTCGCTGGCCCCCTCCCATCTTGTATGCTCAGTGCTGCCAGCCCGCAGGTGCCACCACCAATGAACCATTTCTAACAAGGCCCCTGTTCCCTGCGGGGACACTCAGGGGCTCAAGACTGGGGCACACTTGGCTGTCTTGATTGTGAGATAATAATCTAAGAAACACTACAGAGAGCCATACACCCAGCTCCCCCAATGGCAACATCTTGCAAATATCTCATCAACAATGGGATGCCTATGTCCATATGTCAACTCAGGCCCTGTCCATCACCAGGGGGGCTCCCTCCTGTCTCTTTCATTTTCTAAATGTATTTTTATTGATTTCATAGAGGAAGGGAGAGGGAGAGAGAGATAGAAACATCAATGATAAGAGAGAACCATTGATTGGATGCCTCCCACACATTACCCACTGGGGATCGAGCCCCCAACCAGGGCACATGCCCCTGGACCCAGGACCCTTCAGTCCACATGCCGACCCTCCATCCTCTGAGCAAACCAGCTAGGGCCGCTTCTGTCTCTTCCTGGCCACACCCACCATCCTTCCACTTCTGCCCTCTCCCTAACTCCTGACACCTCTAATCTATAGTTGTCATTTCAACAATGTTATATAAATGGAATCACACAGTGGTGACCTTTGGGGTCAGGGCTGGGGGTGGGGGAGGATGGGCTTCCTCCTCTTGGCCCTGCAGCTTCCCCCCACACTTAGCACCCAGTGCCACCCTCAACATCCACTGCTGTCCTCAGGCAACAGGTGGGCAGGGTGACACCCACTGCACACAGGGCCACCCACCCACCACGCCTGTGCACCGTGGACACCCGGCCATGGCTTCTACAGAGGAAGCCCTGGCAACAGAACCCCAGCTCTGCACCCTCCTTTCAAGTGACTCAGCTGTTCCCTCTGCTCATCCCTCTACATTTGGACAACACTTAGGCTGCAAATATGAAATACAATGGTTTTTTATATACTTTATGCTCATAAAACCTGCATGTTTGACCATTTGCAAAGATGGCACGTCTGTAAAATGAGGCATTCATCAGAGGACAGGAACTGATGGGTTTTGCCCACCCAGTCTCCCCTCTCCTGCATCTTCAGATGCTGATGAGTGTTTCCCAGCCAACGGTCAGAAGAACTTCGTGAAGAGAAGGAGGTGAGTTCCCACAGAGGCCAGAGGCACCTGGGGGTGGGGCCCAGAGCGTCATGGTGCCCATGGGCCTCCTGGGCAGGGATGCGCTATCGTGGCCAGGGGTGAGAGCTATTGGCAGGCCTCCCATTCCACCTCTGGAGGTTTCTATCGATCATGATAGCCAGGTGATGGGCCACATAGAGGCCTCTAGACACGCCAAGGTATTAGGAGGTTCTCAGCCGGGCTTTGGGGATGAAATCTGTTGCACAGGAATCGCTGGGAGAGGGGAGCGTGCGTGGAGCATCTCCCGTGGACAGATGGGACGTGGCAGCAGGTCCCACCCTCCACTCAGCTCTCCCATCCCTGCCCAGAGAACTGTCAGAAAGTCCTCTTTAACTTCAACTTCCAGATATTTCCATGGGAAATGGAAGTGGCTAGTTCATTGAAATAAACACCCCAAGTGCCCAGTGACTTTGGCTGAGGTTGAATGTTGCGTACAGGACGGGAGGAGACCTTCCCTTCACTGAGTGGCCCCAAGCAGACGGTCTGGCAGGAACTCATGGTCCCTGACATTGCTCAGGACGTATGAGCTGTCCTCAACCTTAGTGACCAAGTCGAGTTACCCTGTAACCCATCTTTCCCAACATCAGGCTAAAAATTCACACAGCTAATGTCCTCTTAAAAAAACACAAAGGGTGTTTCTGCCTTAAATTATGCCAAGTTGAGTTTTATTTAACTGTCATCTATTCATGGCAGCCAGAAGCAATGATTAAATGGGTTAGTATTTATTAAGCTGAACATTGCCAAGACTCAGGACTCCCTGCCAGCTGGCGGACAGGTAGGTCTCACTGGCCGAGGGGCTGGACCCTCTGGCAGCTGGGGCTCCTCCTCCTGGGGTAAAATGGCAACCTTACGGCAGGAGCTCCTAGGTCACAGGGGGACAGCGAAGGGATGGGGCGGGGCAACAGGACTGTTCCAAGGAGCCAGGACAGCAACACATGCCCGTCTCCCATGGCCTCCCTGCTGTTGCTTTTGACAGACTTTCCCTCGGAAGGCAGGCCAGGACCTGAGCACAGGCCCCCCCATATCTGTGATGCAGGGAACCAAGAGGACAGCTGGGCCCCACGTGGGAGACATGTATGCTGCAGGACAACATGCATACACATGCATACACACACACACAGAATACTATACATGTCAATGCATACCCACACATTTATAAATATACAACCAGCATGTGCAGACACATGTATTCACCAACACATATGTATCGATATATGCACATCATTACACATGTGTATATTTGTATGTATTTATACACATATGTGCAGGGCATGTACACAAAAATCATATTGACACATACACAGAAGCGTGTGTGTACACACTCACATGTGCACACATACCCATGTGCACATGACTTATATACATGTACACATATACATATAACACATGTATATGCATTATATACACTCTAACCTATGTGCATACACACGTGTGCACACTTGTATGATTGCATGCATTTATGCTTGTATACATATACTCATGCGCACGCTCACATGCTCACACATGCATATGTACATGCACATATGCAGCCGTGGGCGGGGCACTCAATACTTCACGACCCCATTTACGGAGGTCGTGGACATGGTGCTGACCAGCCCCTGGTGGCTTTCTTGCTTCTGGTAGCGGTTCTGGATGAGCTTGTAGATGGCAAAGCAAGGGATGGAGAGGCAGGGCACACCAGCAACGACAACCACCACACCGTACACCCAGTCTGGGTATGGGACCTTCACAGATTTGGGAAATTCCACCTGGGGAGAGAGCAGCCACATGGTGAACAGACATAGACAGCCAGCAGGGGCACAGTGCCCCCTTCTCCCCAAGATTATCACCTCCTGGCCCTTGTGGGGGAGGGAAGGGAGACCTGAGGTTCCTCCTACACACACCTCCTCACAGGGGGCACGCTCCCTCCTTTCCCCTCCCCCCTCCCGCCCAGCAGCTCCTGCAGGCTCACATTGGCAGGGTCCCAGACGCTATATTTCAGCTCCGCATTGACGTTGATCACAAAGAAGAACAGGAAGATGACCAGCATGAGCAGCGGGCTGACCACTCGCCACGTGATTTGCCAGAAGATGTTGGGCTTGTGGCCGATCATAAACTCGATGTCCTTGTTGAACCTGGAAGCAGAGGCCAGAAGGGAGCCATCAGCTGGTGGACATCCATGCCACCAAAGTGGAGGGCGGGCCAGCCTCTCCGTACAGACACGCGGTGCCATCCTACAGTGCTGCCCCTGCCTTTTGCCATCGTAGCTCTGGCCGCCCTCTGTGCCAAGGCTCGCTTCCCTGAGAAGCTGCCGGGCAGTGGTAGTCTGGTTGGAGGCCTCCGGAAACCTCCCTACGAAGCCACAGCCCAGGTGTTCCGACTTGTGGGCTCACACAGCCTGGGCAGCCACTTTTGCAAATAAGGGTCAACACTTCTGTTGAAATGGAGGAAGGAAGCTCAGCCCACGTCCTCAGCAGGGCAGTGGCCCTGACCTTGGAGGCCCTACCATCCCCTGCCCATGTTGTGCTGAACTTTCTTCTAGCACAAAAGTCTTTATTATCTATGGAAATCAGAACGGAGAGCTGACCAGGACCCCGGGAGCCCACTTCTAGAAAAGGACAGGTTCCCAGGCCTTGTTCCCAGCAGGGTCTGGGAATGTGGTGACCAGTCTCTTCAGCTTGGGGCCATGCCTGGCTCTCAGCCTCCTGCTCATGTGGCCTCTTTGAGGCTGAGTTGCCTGGGACCCCCAGCAGTGAGTGTCTGACTTCAAAGTGTCCTTGGGCCTAAACCAGTTTGGTTCAGTGGATAGAGTGTCAGCCTGCGGACTGAAAGGTCCCAGGTTTAATTCCGGAAAAGAGAACGTACATTGGTTGTGAGCACATCCCCAGTGGGAGGTGTGCAGGATGCAGCTGGTGGATGCTTCTCTCCCATCGATGTTTCTAGCTCGCTCTCTCTCTCTCTCTCTCTCTCTCTCTCCCTTCCTCTCTGTAAAAAATCAATAAAATATATTTAAAAACAAACAAAACAAAACAAAACAAAACAAAGTGTCCTTGGCCATTCGCAGAGGACAGGCACGCACCAGGCCAGTCGTGCCTGCTTCACATCAGCAGCACCCACATGACAACATCGTGCACTTCCATTTAAGCCATTTTCTTTCTGTCTGTCTGTCTGGCCTCTGGGCCTTTCTAGTGCCAGCCAGCCAGACACTCAGACAAAGAAGGGGGCTGAGCAGCCCTTCCAGCCATGCTCTGGGCCAAATACTCGGGGTATCACTTCATTATCCTCCATGTAAGGGGTCCAGAAAATGGCACCATCTCCTTGACAGGAAATGGACTTTCCACAACGTCAGAAATAAGACAACATGCACAAGCCATTGGGAGTGGGGGATCCCACTTTATGAATCCTGTTCTGCATCACCATGACGTGTGTGTGTAAGGGCACACATGCAGGAGGCCTGACTCAGCCACACAATGCAAGCCGCCGGGTGGCAATCAGGGAGCATGCGGAGGACTCACTGTGCCATAACCTCAGATGTGCCCGCAGCCAATGTACGATGTGCCTGCAACCAATGGCCATGGATCCCCAGTTGACATGAAACACCCAGCCTCTGGATCCAGGGGACACCCCCTTACCCACAGCGAGTATCCCGGTCCTGTCACTCCTCCATTTCTCCTCCCTGCATGCTCCACTGCCCTGGAGGCAGCTTCTGTGCCCCACAGGACACGGAGCACCCTCTCCTTATCTGGTCCCTCGGTCACGTCATGCCTACCAAGGGCTTCTGCTGTACCAGTGCTTCACCCCCATGCTTGGCAACTGTTTCCCTAGCTGATAATTTCTCTTTTGACTTTGCTTAGGACACGTGGGTTATAAATGTTTTTAAATCACATGGTCAGATCAGAGGTGCCAGTGTTTTCATTTGTGAGGCTGTTTCCTCTTTCCCACCCCTGAGACTGTGCAGTCTTCTCTGGTCTGTGCTTACCCTTCTCCACTAGGTCTGGGAGCACCTGGAAGCTGGAGGGGGTACAGTGTCAACTGCTGAATGGGCATCCATCTGGGAGCCATCTCTTTTCTATCTCACCCATCCAGGTGCCAGACCCATGCCCATATCACACCAGTCCTTCAGGCCTGTATTTGCACACCTGTGCTCCACCTGGAACTGGAGCCCACACAACCCATCCCAGGATGGGAGTTTCCTATGACTGTTGGAGACGGCCACATGCCTCGGTCTCCCTCCTACCTGTCCACGCCATACACGTAGACCACAGCGAACATCTCACAGAAGGCGATGATAAGCAGGGGGATGGAGCCGGCATAGCTGTCCAATAGGGTGAGCCAGTACTGGCCGGAGTTCAGAGTGAAGACAAAGGCGATGAGATACGACACCAAGCACATGATACCTGGGGGCAGAGAACAGCCGCTGTGGACAGAGCTCCCGTTTGCGCCCCCAGCCATGGCCCTCGAGGCCAGTCCTCACCACCTGCCTGCCCAGCCAAGCCCTGGCCTATATACCTGTGAGCACCTCCTTGGGCCACTTTTTGGGGAAGACTTTGAGGTCCTGTAGGGGCACGATCACGCCCTCCATGTTCCCAAACATGGAGGACAGGCCCAGGCAGAAGAGCATGATGAAGAAGAGCACGGACCACAGAGGGGATATGGGCATCCTGGTGATGGCCTCCGTGAAGACAATGAACGCCAGCCCCGTGCCCTCCACGCCCTGCATGGACAAGCAGAGTGTCACCCACACAGGTCTCCCAGCCTCAGTCACACACATCCCTCTCCTTCCCTGCCAAACACTGGTCAGCTCTCCACAGGCCAGGCCCTCACTGTGGAGAGCGTCTTGTGAAATAATGGTCATTGTCTCTTCAGCTCAACTGTGTTTTTAAAAGCTGAACTGTGGTAAATAGACAGGAAGGGGATCACATTTCCCAGCAGCAGTCAGGGCCCAAGCTGTCTGGACAGACACCTGACTTCTATTCAGACTGCTGTGAGCTTATACAGGGCGCCACGCCCTCCACAGACAATTCCTGAGATGCACCCCCCCTTTCCCCCGGCCATGTTAAGAGCCCCTAAATGACTTCAACAGGACCTGCGTGATCTAAATAGCTGCCCTGAGGTGTGGCCCATTGGTTGATTAGAGCCAGTGAGAGCAGGTGCAGAGCAGGTGTGTGACAGAGGGGACCCAGGGGTGGCAGGCACTGGGATGAGGCAGGAGGATCAGAGGCGGACAGGATGGAGACAGACCCCCAGGAACTGAGATCCTGGGGGAGCTCAGTGTCCCTTAAGGGTGTCCCCTCCCTTGCCTTGCGCTGCCCCAGAGAGACTCGCTCACCTCTGACAGGAAAGAGTTTATGTCGCAGGTCTGGAACTGCAGCTGGGCGAAGGCCGTGGGGTTAGAGTCATTGCACATCTGCTGTACCTTCTCAAAGTTTCCCTCGGTGACAGAGCCGTCGGGCAAGTCAAACCCATTGATGAGTGTCAGGATATTCCTGGAAAGAAAAGAGAGTGAGGCTGGCATGGGCCCTGGGCGGCGCAGGCCTGGCAGGCTCCTTGGAGGTGGGTGTGGGCCGGGAGGAGCACTCACTGGTTAATGCAGTCGTCAAAGCGCTCTGTGGCTCGGAAGCCGATGATGGAGTAGACCACGGTGGCTGCGTACATGGACGTGAAGCCGTTGATGACGGACACGATCACCGAGTCCATCTCACAGTTGTTGCTGCAGATGAGAGTGGCGTCGGGTCACTGCAGGCCCAGACACCGTGCCCACCTGCCTGGCCATGGCAGCACAGGCACGGAGCCTGCCCTGAGCCTGAGCTACTGGGGTGCTGCGGGAGAGGGGACAGAGGCCTCCCACCTGTCCTTCCCACTGCACCCAGCAAGAGGTGACCAGAGGGCCATCCCCCAGCCAGTGGCCTTTGCTCCTGCCCTTCTTAACACTTCACTGCAAGTTGGTGGCCTGGAGACCCCTGAAAGCCCTGGGGACTTCTAGAGCTTTCAGCATTCCAAAGCTGGGTGGGAAACCCTGTGCCAATCCCTGCCTGGTCAGCAGGTGCTCTGCGCCCAGAGGGTGGGCACTCAGCCTCATGCTGTTGGGACTGGCTAAGGTCTCACAGCCGCACCCCAAAAGCTTTGAGGAGGTGGCCTACCTCCCCCAAAACCTCCTATGCTCCCTATCCCACCGAAACCCCCTGCCCTCGCCTCCAAGTCCTGTCTCCTCCCAGCGGAGGGTTCCCATCTCCATCCAGAGCCTAAAGACTTTCCTGGCTCAATGTGTCCAAAACCCAACCCCCGACCTCCCCAACCCAACCCAGCAACTCTCCCACTGGCCCCACTGTTAATGCTAATACATCCTTCTAGATGCTTCCAGCAGAAACCTAAACCCTCAGCTCTCAGAGAAATGCAAATAAAAGCACAGTAAGAGACCTAATCTCACCCACCAGATGGAGAGACTCAAAAAGTCATATGGTAACAGGTGTGGAGAAATTTGGCCTCACCATTTCCCTGCTTGCTCCCACCCTCTGGGACCACCACCCACAGCCAGTGGCCAGCAGCCAGCAGGTACCAGCACTCACCCCTCCCTGTCTGAGTGCTCACACTACACCTGCTGCACATGAGCCCATCCCATCGAGGACCCCAGCCTGGTCCCACACCCCTCCAGGGACCCCTCCTCCTGCTCATTTTGTTTGTTTCTCTAGAATGCCACAGGCACAGGTCTCAGGAGGACAGAACCCCATGCTCCATGCAGGGCAGAGTAGGTGCTCTGTAAGTGTTTGTGGAGATGAATTGATAACAATTTTCTTCCTCTGAAGACCCCTAAAGGCCCTTTCTGTGTGGGTGTTGGTCTGGGATGGACTATGGTGGCTGGGCATTTAGAGTCCTGGATGCTGAGGGGCAACTAGAAGGGCAATAGGGGATGGAGGGAAGCACACCAGGGCTCGTCATCCCAAAGACCAAGGACCATGGGGAGGACAGTCAAAGCCTGAGGTACCTAGTGTGTGAAAATTTCCCAGATCCTAAGCCTCTTCCCTGGCACGGAGCCCTGGGCCCCATGATCTGGTGGGGCCAGAGGCAAGCCCTCTGCCCAGCCCACAACCCCTGTCCACACTCACTGGACGGAGTTGTAGCTGGAGAAGGAGATGAGGCCCCCGAAGGCCAACGAGAAGGAGTAGAAGACCTGGGCCCCCGCATCCAGCCAAGTCAGTGGGTTGGCCAGCTCCGTGATCTGCAGCCAAATAGAGACCCTTAGCTGGCACCCCAAGGATGAGGGGTCACAGGAAACCCAGGAGGTAGTGGCCCAAGGCAGAGATGTGAGCCTGGAGGCTGGTGACAGCTGAGGCTGCTGGGCAGTGGTCATAACAAACAACGCCCTCCAAGTAACTGATAACTTGGAGGTGGTTGCCATCAATCCACACAGGGCCTCCCTCAAGCTCACAGGCCCAGCATGCATGCATTGAGGGGCCTGGGACTGGCCAGGGCTGGTCTCAGGTGGGGAGGCCCATCCCCCAGGGTGGCCTCTCCCACAAGAACTGGAGCCCCAGGGTGGGCAGCGGGAGACTCACGTTGGGGTTGAAGAGGAAGGTGATACCGGCGGTGGCTCCCTTTAGTGTCAGTCCCCGAATGAGGAAGACGGTCAGGACGATATAAGGCAGTGTCGAGGTGATGTACACAGCCTGGGGACAGGGCAGAAGTGGGATGAAGTGGAACATAGAACCTACAGTGAGAAAGGACCCTGGCTCTGTTCCTCCAGGCACCCCTCTGGCCCCAGCTCCCAGGGCAGGGAGATCTGACGTTTCCTATGGCTGTATTTGTAATGATGACTACTCAGTCCTCCTAGTCAGAGAACTACTGTGGGTCACTCTTGCTACAGCTTTTTAAGCACAGGTTTGAGGACCATCCAAGCCAGCACTACGTCCCCAGGGCCAAGCTGGAGGCCTCTCCTGGACATGGGGTGGTGACCCACAGAGCTGATTAAGGGGCAGCTTCCCAAGCCCAGCCCGCACCTTGCCGGTGGTCTCGATGCCACGGATGGTGCACACGTAGAGGACACACCAGGCACAGGTCAGACAGAGCAGAACCCACCACTGCACAGAGCCCGAGTCGCTGATGGAGGTGGAGATGTTGAGGGTCTCTCTGTACCAGTAGTAGTCCACGGAAGAGCTGCGGGCGCACTCCTCCACATAGCCTGCAGGGGGCACTCACATAATCAGTGTGGGTCATAGGGAACTCCGGAGGAGGATGGGGAACATGGCAATGCTGTGCTCCCAACTCACTGATACCAGGAACATAGTGCACACAGACATGCATGTACATACCCACACAGACACATGTGCATGTATACAAGCATAACTGCATGTGTGCATGCACACGTACACACCCACATAGACATGCACGGGTGCATGTATCTGAGCATACCTTCACACATTTGCACATGCACACATGTATACATACTCATAAGACACATATGCACCCATGGGCATACCTGAATGTAAACATGTGCATATATGTGTGCATACAGAAGTGTGAGCACACTAGACATACACATGTGCGTGCGTGCGCGTGCGCACACACACACACACACACCATGCATTGACCACTTTCTGCTTATTGAACCCATTCTTACAGATCGGGCAAATGTGTGCAAGCTGTGGAGCTGAGCACACAGCCTGTGTCCCACAGAGGCCCCAGGCAGAGATGTGAGCCTGGAGTCAAGTGATAGCTGAGGGGATCCCAAAAAGTCCCTGGGGAATGTGGTGGGAAGGGACAGTGGAGAATCAGGCCTCCCCTGTGAGAGGTCAGGGAGCAGCAGGTCCCTCCCTCCTTTCCTTCATTATAATCTTGGCCGGCACCCTCCTGAGGGCTTTTCTCTGGCATAGCGATTTTTAAAAATTCCCTGTTGCCGTAAATGTGCTCCGATTTTTGCATTTGAGGAAATCAAGGGGTGACTACTCAAGGACTCTGTCTGTATGCTCAAAGGTGCACATGCTCTCGCACCACCAGTCACCCTGTCCTCCTACCCCTGACCCTACCCTGCCCTGGACACACCTGTCAGATTGTCGTTGAGCGGGCACGTGCTCCAAGGGAGGGGTTCCTGGAAGGAGTTGAAGAAGTACCACATGACCCAGGCGATGATGGTGTTGTAGTAGAGGCCCACCATGAAGGACACGAACATGGACGCGATCCCTGGGGGGCAATCAACACTGCTGGGGACACCGCTAGGCAGTACCACTGCGGGGCCCCACTGGGGTCTGGGCACTGTTAGCAGGAAGGGATTGTGCTGGGGAGCCCCTTGAGGACTCAGTGTGAATACACTCAGGGTTCCAGAAAACAGAGTGGTGGTCTTCAGGTGCTTGCTGAGCCCTCCTGTAGGCAGCACAGGGGACTCAACTCTTCCCACCTATACACATTCCCAGGCCTGGGCATCCGGGATTTAGGATAGCCTCTGCTGCCCAGCTGACTTTAGTGGCCAGGCATGATCCTAGCCTGGACCCTGCCACCTACACTTCTGTGAGATGCTAAGGAAGGGCTTGCAGAGGGTTGGGGGGGGGGGGATGGAGATGAGTCCACTGGAGACAGGCAAAAGGAGAGAAGGAGGAAGCATGCTTGCTGCCCATATTGGGGCCTGGCAGGGGTCCCACCCGCTGGGCCCAGACACGCACCTATGCCCTTCAGGGCTGGGTGGATAGAGCTCCAGACGCCCACGCTGCCCTTGCGCAGACGCTGCCCGATGGCGAACTCCAGGTACAGCAAGGGGACGCCCTCCACCACCAGCAGGATGAGGAACGGGATCATGAATGCTCCTGGTGGGGGAAAGGCATCTGTGTATCAGGTAATGCACGCCAGGTGGCCAAGGGCCGGCTCTGGAGACACAGGCGTTGGTAGAAAGTACCTGTAGAGCCCAAACCGGTTTGGCTCAGTGGATAGAGCATTGGTCTGCGGACTGAAAGGTCCCAGGTTCAATTCCGATCAAGGGCATGTATCTTGGTTGCGGGCACATCCCCAATAGGAGGTGTGCAGGAGGCAGCTGATGGATGATTCTCTCTCATTGATGTTTCTATCCCTCTCTCTTCCTCTCTGTAAAACAAATCAATAAAATATGTTATAAAAAAAGAAAAAAAAGAAAGTGCCTGCAGAATTTGCCCACAAATACAGACTTATAACCACACCCTCACATGCACCACTCATGACGGCCATCAGCACTGTCTTATGGGGGATGCTTCATGCCATCATGACAGTGGCCGGCTTGTCTACTGTCCCTCCAAGACTGTGCTTGTCCTACAGGGTGAGCATATGACAGCTCCTGGGGAAGTAAGGAAGGTGTCCACATGCTCGGAGGAGCAGGGGGAGGTCAGAGGGAGCCCTTTTGGAGCTCAAAATCCAACAAGAAGACATGGGCAGCACATGGAACCTTCATTCAAAGTGATGGTGAGCTTAGTGTGACAATGAGATGAAAAGCAGAGAGCAGCAGTGATGATCCCCTTGCTGGATCTCCTGCAGGAGAGGAGGGGGGAATTACCCTGGGTCTAGGGTGCCACTGTGGCTGCAGGCTCACTGGGTCGACATATCAGTGAGGGTAAAGTGAAAATAAGAAAATATTTGCCACTTTACTGTTTTCCCATAAGTTTGATGTGAATGTCTTTTGGGCAAAACTATTGAGAAAAACAAAGTCCGTGGCTCTCAGATACCCTTTGATCCCATCCCTTCTTCCTGAAGTCACTTTTACCCGCAGGTCCCACTGCCCCTCCATCTCCATCAGGAAACTCCTATTCATCCCTGAAAACCCCACTTGGATGCTTGCTCCTTAGGAAGCCTCTGCTGCCTGCGCTCCTGACAGCTCCTCCCGGCAGCTCCTCCAGGTGTAACGTGGTGGGCGCCTGACACGCCTGTCTGCCTGCAGTCCTGTGTGTGCTCTTGCACACTGATGAACACACACACACAGAGGCAGAGACGGGAGGGACAAGGCAAGGTGTAAAGGTCCCGCAGAAGAAAAAAGCACTAGCATAGAAATGCAACTTCCTTGGCCCTAGACAGGTAGTTCAGTTGGTTAGAGCATCATCCTGATACCTCAATATTGGGGTTCAATCCCCAGTCAGGGCACATGCAAGAATCAACCAATGTATGCATAAATAAGTAGAACAATAAGTTAATGTTCTCTCTCTCTCTCAAAATAAAAATAAGCTAAAATAAAGAGATGCAACTTTATCACTGAGAATTTAGGAAGCAGGTGGAGAAGGGGAAAGAGGGACGGCTAGGTAGGGGCAGCTGCTGTCTTCACCGGCAGGGTCTAAGGCTTTTCTGCATCTCTCTCCCTGCAGGTGGTGTGTGGCACAAAGGAAAAGCTCGAGGACTATTTGCTGACCGGGTACAGGGCCAGGACCAGTAGTGAAGGGTCAGCCCCAGGGACCTACTGTAAGGCACATGGGTGGCCCAGTGTTGAGCAGACAGCATGGTCCTTGGGCTGTGCTGCTTCCTAGTTGTCCCTGCCCCACCCCCACACTGAGCTCCATCCACCTAAAAAGGGGTGAGAAATATGCCTTGTGTCAGGTGACAGCACTGGGACAGACACGTGGTGCATTCACGCGGAGAACAGAGGTTGTGGGCTGATGTGTGGTGAATGCAATTCCCGTGGACACGCTCCTGGGCCTGGTGCTGGTGCCGAACTCTTGGCAGTAGACCATCTGGTCACGGAGACCCAGCTGTTTGTGGCCAACTCAGGGAGCAGGGTGAGTGCTGACTCTGACCAAGTCCCCTGGTTTCAATCTCCTGCATGCCCCCCACTTCTAGGTCTGCAAAGCTCACAGCTTGACAGAGCAGTTTTGCAGTGCAGCCCTTGGATCAGAACTCTCCAGCACCTCCCATTTTAGGGGGGAGCCTCAAGCCCCAGAAGGTGCACACGAGAGTAAATAGGGCCAGGACACAGATGGTCATATTCACTCAACTCAGGGCTGGCTTCTGAAACCTTTGAGATATCCGTCTTCAGTAAAAGGGCCCGTGAACCCACCTGTCCCAGCGCCCACACTGGGGCTTTGGGGCCCCCAGCTCCTCTCGCTGTTCCCTAAGGCTGAATGAGGAGAGGCACTGGCCTCTCCCCCAGGCTACCCCTGCCACCTGATTCAGTCCTCACTGACCCATTGAGAGACACATGACTCGTGCCCATTTCCTCTGAGTGGTGGCAAGACGGACTCTGCCGAGGTGACTTCACCCTGCTGCTTGCTGACAGCAGATGCACAACAGGAAGAAAAGAGAACTAAGCAGAGGCAGCTGAGGTGACACAGGCAGAGGACACGGCCCACCTGGTGCCCCATGTACCTGCCCTTTGATCACAGAGATGCCCCATCCGAGATCTAGAAGGTGGGGCCCGCACGTGACAACACATCTCAATGGAGGCTTTGTGTGCACACCCACATGCACAAGGCCACCACCCCACTCAACGTGGCAATGTGCTGTAGATGCTGCTCTAGGTCATGAGGGGAAGGGTGTCCCCTGTAGCTTTCTCTACTTTTCTGCTTTTTTTTTTTTTTTCCATAATATAAAGTTAAACACAAAGTAAATGATTATTTGTTTTTACTTTTCAAATTACCCAAAACTCTTATAAATAATTGAAGAAAAACTAAGTTTTCATCAAACCAGGACTAGTCCACAGAGTCCTCAGATCCTTCATTTTCTCTCCAAGTTTCCCAATCACTCCCTCACCGGAGATCTGGGGCTACAGGCTTGGGAAATGCCACCGGGAGGAGTCACCTGCCACACCCTGTCATTGTCCTCAGCAATTTTCTCCTGCTGTTGGCTTCTTATCACTGTCCTCAGCAATTGTCTCCCGGGTTTAGGGGGTTATCAGTATCCTCAGCAATTGTCTCCCAGGCTTGGGGGGTTATCACTGTCCTCAATGGTTGTCTGTCCACTCAGCAGGACCAGGGGTGAGGTGGGACAGCTCCTTCTCATCCACAGTGTCTGGAGGCAGTGTCCCTACATTACCCCTCAGACTCACGGTGAGTGTGTGCTGCACCCCAGGGGTGAACACTTCTCAGTCTCAGCCCTTCCCTCCCCCTCAGACCCTTCCCTTTGGAACTAAGTAAATGCTGCAGGTATTGCCAGAACCCTGGCCCGGGCAGCCCTGGTGGGGGTGGGGAAATGACCAGGACCTTCCAGAGGGAAGAGGTAGCTGACTTCTAGGACTAAGTGATTCTACTGCGTGGCCACCCCCCCAGTCTCTCGGGGTTCCATTCACCCCTCCACCGTGCAGAGGTGACTCACAAGACTATCTGGAAAGCACAGGATGAGCCCCAGGTGTAAAGACAGAGCCTCCCAGACATTCAGAAGCTTCATTTTGGGCCATGGAAAGGGGGGTGGGTCACAAAGGTGGCCTGGGAACAACCGTAAAGCTTTCTTTTCTGCTACAAAGCCTGGTGAGAGCCGGCAGGTTCTTCAGAGTAAGAACAAACTCACATCACTAGAGAGGATTTGTGCTTTGAGAGGAGGGTATTCAGAAGCCCTCAGCAGCAGAAGCATCCTCAGAGCGTCCAGCCAGCTCTGCAGAGCCTGTTCCTCGGGGAGCACAGCACCGGCCTGGACCTTCTCTCAGAGCAAGCACAGCTGTTCCCCTTCCCGCCATGGAGCTCCTGGCAGTAGCTCCCCTTCCAGGCTGGGGCCCAGGGGAGACAGAAGCCACAGGTGCATGGGGGCTGATGGGACCACAGGTGTGATCTCCATCCCTGAAGCCTGTTGACACCAGGAAGGTGGGTGGAAGGACAAAAGCATGGGGACTGAGACCCAGCAGCCCCAAGGCGGTCTCTGCAGCTGGGGGAGAGGGAGTGGCCTCAGCCCAGGGGAAGGAAACCCCTAGGCCACAGGCAAAGCTCCAGAGACGTCTGGAGGCAGCAGGACTGGCTGAGGCAGTGTTCCCTGGGGGATGCAGCCTTCCCACCTCTGATCAGGAGCCTGCCTGCCTGTTTCTCTGTGGGTCCAGCTCCCTCCTCTGTCCCTCAGGGAACGTGGAACCCAGTGCCATAATGTATTTCAAAGGAGGGCTAGCCTTACTGTCCTTCCTGCTGGCACCATCCACCTCAAGGAAGGGGCTCCATCCAGAGGAGCACCTGGTCCCTCTCTGTCCCTCCCCCCACCAGCAGGTCAGGTCTGTTCTCTGGGGGCTGGTAAGGGCTTCTGGGTCCTGGAGCAAGGGTCCTGCCTCCACTGACACAGCACTTGGGCGTGTGGGACAGCACTGGACCTCCCTCACCAACTTGGGCAAATGGGAGCGGAGTGAACATGTCGGCACCTGAGCCCATGCTCCAGCCCGGCCCTCTGCCCAGCCTGCACTCGGTGCCAACATAGGGCTCGAGCGGACCAGTGAAGGGGTGGAGGGTACACACCTGCGCTGTCCTGCCCCAGCCCTTTGCCCTGAAACGTCTCCCCTCTATGAACGGGGTGCTGGGGTCCTGAGGACGCCAATGTTGTTTGCCTGGACCCCCAACCTGCCCTCCTGCCCGGCCTACCTCCGCCATGGCTCTGGCACAAGTAGGGGAAGCGCCAGACGTTGCCCAGGCCCACGCAGAAGCCCACGCAGGTGAGCATGTACTGGGCCTTGTTGTCCCATTTGGGCCGCGAGCTGGCCTCCTCCTTCTCGAGGACCTCCAGTTGCTCCAGGGAGGGGATTCGGTCGTCCAGGCCCGGGTTGGGCAGCACAAGCCTCACCATGGTGATCACAGGTAGGTCCCTCTTGGCAGGACAGGACAGGAGCTGGAGATCGAGTGGACACAGCCGGAGCCCCAGCACTTTATAGGGAACCTTTGGCACCTCACCCCAAGCACCTAGGCTGAAAGGAAGCGTCAGCAGATCCGAAGGGTGAGTCCACGGGACTGTTAATGCCTTATCTGCAGAGGCGCTGGCCGACCCTTTGAGGCTCTCAGTTGGCACCGGCCAGCCCCTCCCCCTGTGCAAACACAGAGTCCCGGGCACAGAGGAGCCGCCCCCACCCCCGCATTGGCTCAGATAGCCAGGCTCCCACGGAGGAGGAGCCCAGGGCAAAAGGCCCCATCCATGGCCCTGCCTGGGCCTTCGAAGCCCCCTACTCCCCACCAGTCACACACTCCCACCTGCGGGAGGCTGCCAGAGGGATCCTCTCTCCGCAGCTCTCTCTGCCAACAGGCTGGGTGCTAGGGTACCTCCATCCTGCCCCGCTCCAGTCCAGAAACATGAGTTGGAGCTCTGGACCCCGGGACCAGCCACTGCCCTGGTCACACTTGGCTCAAAATAGCTACTCAGAGAGGCCCAGAGCCCTGTGTATGTGGCCCCTCAGGATGCTCTTCCCATGCGCTCTCCCTGGGCTCTGGGAGTGCAACGTCCCCAACCACTGAGCAGCCTCCAGGCTTATCCACCAGTGCAGAGCTTCTGTCCTTCCACCAACTGACCAGCTGCCTCCTGCACTCCCCCAGCTGGGGATCAAGCTCCAAACCTGAGCATGTGTCCTGACCAGGAATGGAACCGGCAACATTTGTGTGCACAGGACACTACTTAACCAACTGAGCCACACCGGCCGGGCCAAAACCAGGGCTTTTGAGCACAGTTCCCAGTTCAGGGAGTGAGGTGGGGGTGTGCCTCCAAGCTCTGGCCCCCTCATCCCCACTTGAGATCCTGAGCTCAGTGATTTCCCCCTCCCCCACAGAACCTTCCCTTGGGCTAGTGACCACCGGACAGTCATCCCTCGGCTGGACTTTCCTTCAGGGACGGCCTTCCCACCAGCCTGTGTCCAACCTTCTGGTCAGTGTTCTGCGAGCCCTTCCTGGCAGTCTGTGCCCACTGACCGCCCACCCCACCCTCACTCCCGGCGGCCTTCCTAGAAGGATGGGTGTGTCCTTCTGTCTCTGTGTAGCTGTCATCTGTGGTCCTCGCCACTGGATGGTAACGGTGCCCTGACACCGCTTGACTGGTTCACACTGAGCTTACCAAATAATCCAGGAAGGCGGGTGGGGGTCACTAGGCACAAGTGAAGTCAGGAGCCTGACCTTTGACCCCATGGAGGGGGGAGACTGGGGAAGGGTGGAGGCTGGAAGGAAGAGATCCATCCGGTTTGCTCTCAGGGACATCTGGCTCCTGACAGGGGCAGGCTAGAGTGCAGAGCCAGCTGCAGAGGGACAGAGGCAGGGGAGCAGGAGACAGGTGCGCCCGGCTAGCCAGGCCTGGGGTGGGAGATGGGGAGGGCTGTCTGGACCCTGAGGACCAGCAAGGGGGAGGAGTGAGGTGGGGTTCTGTCCTAGACATGTCCACGGGAGACAGGCACGGCCAGGTGCTGGATGGAGGGTGAATGTCTAGCTTCACCAGTGGGTTCTTCTGGCCACTCCCTCGCAGAGGAAGCCTGAGTGGCAGGAACTGGACTTGGACCCACATTCCTAGAGCTGCAGCCTCCGAGAGCCCCAACCCCACTGGCTCAAGGGTCTTGAGGCTCTTTCCTAAGCTGTGAGACATGTTATACAACCAACTGCACAGCAGTTTTCCTAGAAAATATTCAGAAATGGTGCCTGGCAGACTGAAGGCCAGAAGCCAAGTACTGACCCTGAGCAGCTGGGGTCTCGGGATCTTGCTGACACGGATGAAGGGGTCTGGGACCAACCCAGTCAGGGTTCCAGAGGCGCTTGGGTCCTCCACGGCCCTGGGTGAGGGTCTGGGCGGAGTGTTGAGAAGACAGGCATCTCTGCGATGGCGCTGTGGACTCATGGGGCTGCAAGCAGCCTCTGTGGTCTGAGCATGCTGATATGTAGGGCAGATTTGGGGTACGGGGCTCACAGGAGAGGGAAAGAGAAAGGGAGATATGCCGGTCAGGAGACAGAGCAGGATGTTCTTGCAGCCTCCTGCTCCAAACCTCCATCCTGTTTCTCCACAGGGAAGGCTCCGGGCTGGCATTTGACCTGCCAGGACCCATAACTCCCTTTGGAAGGTCCGACCTTGCACCCCAGGCCCACGCCTGCTTCCCCTGCCTGGAGCCATCTTCCCACGGTGTCTGCCAGTCCTTCCTTCCACCTTCAAGTTATAGTGTAGCCACCATGGGGCCATCCTGGTACTCTCTTAACACGCAGCCTAACCCCCGCTCGCTACTCCACTGAACTCTGCTTTTCCTTCAAACACGCTGTGAAGGTGACTCAGTTACTTGGCTAATTGCTTACAGGCTCTCCTCCCTATGAGGCTGTGAGGGCCACGGGGGGAAGGGAGGGTGGGAGAATGTGAGGGCCACAGGGGTGGGGGTGTCTCTGACTTCTGTTTGTTCACTGATAACGCCTCTCTTGTGTCTGAGGCCTCAGAAATACTCGGTTGATTCGGACCAAGAAGGGTTCCTGCAGCTGGAGGCTGGTGGTGCCCTCCCTGGGTGGCAGGTCCAGGCAGGCCAGGAACAGATGCCTCCATCCTGAGGAGGAGAGAGTGCCAGACGTGGGCCCGGACAGAGACTGTTCCCCAAACTCCTCAGAGATGACAGCAGTAGAGGCTTTCCCTCGGCCCTAGGCCAGCCATGGTCCTGACCCAGCCAAGCATGTAAGAACGATTCCGTGCCTGGGATGGGTCACACTCCCTTATCCTGCCCACCCTGCCTGCTCTTTGTATTTCTCTGGCACCTGCCAAGCAGTGTGGAGGATGTCCTCCTAAGATATGCTTTCTATGGAAGTGTCTCTTAATAAGCTCTGTTAGTTGCCAAACTGGAGAGGTCATTGGAGTAAATTGTGGAAAGTTACATTGTCCACGATGAAGACACAGAGTGGGTCTCCTGGTGAGAGAGAGACTACAGACCAAGGAGAGAGCTGTTAGTGTTCACCTCCAGTGTTCTCGATGGAGCATGTTTTTCTTTTTTTTGAGAATCCTCACCCAAGGATACTTTTTTTCCCATTGGTTTTTGGAGGGTAGGGGGGAAGAGAGAGAGAGAAACCGACGTGAATGAGACACATCAATTGGCTGCCTGGTCTTCTCAGGAGGCACACCCATCCGAAGGCATCCGCAGCCGGAGGCCATCTCCTCATCCTGTCTCCTCAGCCACGCCTGACATGCCAGGATTGTATTGCAAAAGAAAAACATGCTCCGTCGAGAACACTGGAGGTGAACACTAACAGCTCTCTCCTTGGTCTGTAGTTCTATAAATAGGTAAGCATGTGCTTGTGCGGGGCCCCTGGGGTGGCGTGCCACAGCTCACATATTGTTCTACTGCTTCGGGCAGTAGCCAGTGTGGGCCACTGTCACCAAAGCCTCTGTGAAATCTGTCCTTGTCTCTGGCACACTCATGTGGTATTCCCGGTAGAACCGCTTCTCCTCAGGGTGCACGTGCCCAACTGGAAGGGATGCTGCCATGGCCTGCAAGAGGGGTTGGGCCAGTTACCCGCTTCCCCAGGGAGGCCCCACACCCTTGCCAGCTTGGTGTCCTTGCTTAGTTTCCCTGTGGCCATTGTGCCAGTGCTAAATAGTCACCTGTGGGTTTTGTTTTGTTCTGTTTTGGTAGGATTTTTTTGGAGAATCCTCACCCAAGGATACTTTTTTTTCCATTGGTTTTTGTAGGGTAGGGGGGAAGAGAGAGAGAGAGAGAAACGGACGTGAATGAGACACATCAATTGGCTGCCTGGTATATGTGCCCCTACCAAAGCTGGGGAACCTGCAACTGAGGTACATGCCCTCGACCCAGAATCAAACCCACAACCTTTGGGTCCAAGCATCGACACTATAACTACTGAGCCAAACCAGCCAGGGCAATCATCTGTGGTTTTTAACCTGCATTTCCTTGAAGGCCTGTGCCATGGAGCTCAATCCTGTGAACTGACCAGCCGTCACGATCCCCCCATTCAAATGCCCTTTCCAATTGGATGCTGACCCTGTCTATTAATTTTCAGAACATTTGACCATATTCTGGAAGGTGGTGCTTCAGAAACACCTTTCCCCCTCAGCCACCGGCCTCCAGCCTTTCTGTACCTCCAGGTGGCGTCCTGGGGGGACAGAAACTGCCATTACACTGTTGTCCTTTAAAAAATACCTTAGCTTACCTCAAGGTCATGAAGATATCCTCACAGGTTTTATTTCGGAAGCCGGGGACCAAGCCTGCAACCGAGAAATCCAAATGAAGGATCCAGCTCTGTTTACTCACAATATCACCCTCTCCTCCTCTTTCTGCAAGCTGCTTTGGTCATGGATCTATTGTTTGCATCTATGCAGTCTGTTTCTTCCCTTCCCACTCTGTTCCATGAGTCTGTGTGTCCACCTTCATCCCTGGGGTCTTACACCAGGTCTTCGTATCTGACGGGGTATGTCCTCCAGCTGTGCTCTTCTTCAAGAACGTGAACATTTTAGAATCCCACAGAAAACCTGCTGGGACTTTGATTGGAGTGCATTAAATCTACAGGTTTGTAGATCAATTTAAATGGAGTCTTACCAATATTGTTTTTCAAATCACAAACACCGTGGCGTTAACATATGCCTTCTTTCCTCAATAACAGTTTATAGGTTTTTTGTGTGTGGAGGTCTTGAAGATCTTTCATTCAATTTCTTCTTAGGTATTTGTTTTTTTGTGGTTTTTTTTTCTCCATGTTATTACGAATGGTATTTTTTTTTGGTCTACTTTCTAATTGCTGGAATATATAACAATATAATTAACTTTTATATATACAGGCCTTATATTGAAATTTTTTTACTTTTTAAAGTAAAACTATATATAAACTTAAAAATATGTATTT